GTGACAACGAAGACCAAACTACAAAAAAAAAAAAAAAAAAAAAAAAAAAAAAAAAAACACAACTCCATCTAAAAAAAAAAAAAATGTCCATCATATTTAGCCAAGTAAAAATAAGAGGTTAGAAGAGTTTTATATATATCCAATTCACTATAAACAGTAAAATGGAACTTAAGCTTAATCGATAATATGTATACAAAAAGTTTTTAAAAATATATAGTTATTTGTTAATAGATGTGAACTCTAGCTGGTGGTTTTTACTTTCTAAAATATTTTAGCATTATTTAAATGTTTTTGCAGAACAGGCGTGGTGGCTCATGCTTGTAATCCTAGCACTTTGGGAGGCCAAGTTAAGAGACTGCTTGTGGACAGGAGTTCAAGACCAGCCTGGGCAACACAGCAAGACCCCATCTCCATTTTTTAAAAATTGTATTTGCATTGTTTAAGTGTTTTTTCTTTTTTCTTTTTTTTATTTTTTGTAGTGTCTATTAGCTGACAAAAGTGTTTTTTCAATAATCAAAAATAATAAAATTATTTCTAGTTTGGAAAAAGGAACATAAGAATACCTAGTACTAGAAAGTAAAAGATGAAATGGGTATTTTTTTCATATTCTGCTAGTAAGAATGAAAACTGATAAAACTGTTTTAGAAGATAATTTTACATCCCTGTAGTCCTAGCATTTTGGGAGGCTGAGGCAGTTGGATTGCCTGAGCTCAGGAGTTTGAGACCTACCTCGACTCTACTAAAAATACAAAAAATTAGCTGGGCATGGTGGGGAGGCTGAGGCGAGAGAATTGCTTCAACCGGGAGTTGGAGGTTGTAGTGAGCAGAGATCACACCACTTCACTCCATCCAGCCTAGGCGACAGAATGAGATTCTATGGAAAAAAAACCTTTTTTTTTGTATCAAAAGAATCCTGCTGTGTCGCCTAGGCTGATCGTGAACACCTTGGCCTCTCAAAGTCTTGGGATTACAGGTGTGAGTCACCATTTTCTTTTTCTTTATCTTATTTTTTATTTATTTAATTTTTTTGAGACGGATTCTCACTCTGTGGCCCAGACTAGAGTGCAATGGCACCATCTCAGCTCACCGCAACCTCTGCCTCCCAGGTTCAAGCAATTCTCTACCTCAGCCTCCTGAGCCGCTGAGGTTACAGGCATGTGCCACCATGCCTGGCTAATTTTTGTATTTTTAGTAGAGACAGAGTTTCACCATCTTGGCCAGGCTGGTCTTGAGCTCCTGACCTTATGATCCACCCATATCAACCTCCCAAAGTGCTGGGATTACAGGCGTAAGCCATCACACTCAGCCCACCATTTTTGTTTTTGTTTGTTTGTTTTAGAGACAGGGTATCACTATGTTGCCCAGGCTGGAGTGCAGTGGCTATTCACAGGCGCAATCCCACTACTGATCAGCATAGGAGTTTTGACCTGCTCCATTTCCAACCAGGGCCGGTTCACCCCTCCTTAGGCAACCTGGTGGTACCCCGCTCCTGGGAGATCACCATATTGATGCTGAACTTAGTGTGGACACACCATCGGCATAGTGCACTATAGCCCAGAACTCCTGGATTCAAGCGATCCTCCAGCCTCAGCCTCCCGAGTAGCTGGCACTACAGGCACGCACCACTGTGCCTGGCATTTTCAAAACATAATATTTGATGCTGGGCACAGTAACTCACTCCTGTAATCCCAGCACTTTGGGAGGCTGAGTTGGGAGGACCACTTGAGGCCAGTTCAAGACCAGCCTGGGCAACATGGTGAAAACCCATCTCTACTAAAAATACAAAAATTAACTGAGCAAGGTGGTTGTATGCCTGTCGTTTCAGTTACTTGGAAGGCTGATGTAGGAGGATCTCTTGAGCCCAGAAGGCGGAGGTTGCAGTGAACTGAGATCATGCACTGCACTCCATGCTGGGTGACAGAGTGAGACTGTCTCAAAAAAAAAACAAAACCAAAAAACCCCAAACCAACAACAATAACAGATCACACACAGGGTTTTGTGTCACGTTAATCCTGAGACTCTGTCACCCAGGATGATGCAATCTTGGCTCACTACAAATTCTCAGGCTTAAGCAATGCTCCCACCTCAGCCTCCCAAGTAGCTGAGATTACAGGCCTGCACCACCATGCCTGGCTAATTTTTGTATTTTTTTGTAGAGACAGGGTCTCACTTTGTTGCCCAGGCTGATCTCAAACTTCTCAGCTCAAGTGATTACCTGCCTTGGCCTCCCAAAGTGCTGGGATTATAGGCATTAGCCACCTCATCAGGCCATGTTCATCCCATTAACATTTGGCAGTGCCTAGCACAGTGTAGACTTTTTAGAATTGTGGAATAACAATGATTAATGAAATTAAACATATAGTTGAAGATCCTATTAGGGTATACAAGATTTTTTCCCTGATTTAGAACTACATCAAAGAAAGAAGGGCCTAAGACCAAGGTTTGGGAATGTACCCAATGAATTGCTAAAAAGAGAGCTGGCTTTAGTAATGGTAGGAAGAAGTTATTTCTTCAACGAAATAGAATACACACAGATAAATTTCAAACTGAGAGCCATTACACTAGCTGGCAAAACAGATGTGGATATCGTGGCCCTGGTACTCACACAGTTTATAATCAGGTGCACTGTCCTATTACAATGCCCAATATGTTCTTATTATGGTATTTACAGCGTTTTGGATTTTCTGTCCCTCTCTCTCAATAGAATAAACTTTGAGGTAAGTTTCTTATTTAACTTAGAATCCCCAGCAGTGTTTGATACACAGTTGGAGCTCAATAAATGTATATGGAGTGAGTGAATGACGAGGCACAAAAGCAATTTGTTGAATTACTGGTTGAATGAATCAAATAAGTGTCTAGGATTCACGGGCTGTCTTCTGCACGATAAGCTTCATTCTGTGGGTCTGAGTTTCTCCTGGTTCCCAATCATGTGTCTTTTTGCGGATTATCTACTCTGTAGCTGGACTTTTGCATTTTTTCAAGATATTCTTCTATTCCTAATAGAAGCAACCCTAGCGAAACCAGACGTCAATTCTTTTCCCCAGGGCAAGTAGCGAAAAATACATTCCATAAAAGAGCAAGCGAATCCCAAATCCCGGGTTTCCCACCCCCACAAGCTGCGGGGGGAAAAAGGAGCGAGGCACCTGAATACTGTACTTCTTTGGACCTCATTGATCCCAGAAACTGGCCTTCTAAAGCATCCATAGTCTTAACCTCATTATATAATTTAAACCGCCTTCGCAACACCGAAAGGACCACACCAAAACCTCATACAGCTCTGGTTGGGACAAGGACTTCAGCTCCAGACTGAGGTGCTCCGTAAGGCGGTGTCTTCTGGGATCTGTAGGCTCCCTCGGTTCGGCTTTCCTCACTCGGTGACTCCAATTCCCGGCAGCCACTGGGGTCCAAGGTCCGCCCTCTTTCTGGGGGAGGAACCCATACGAGGGGGGGCGGACCCTTGCTTTTCCGTCGCATGGGCCGGAATGTTGCGGGCGGCGAGGGACTGCGATTCCCACGTGGTGGCTTTCTCTCACTAGCCCACTTTGGTCCTCCTTGACGTCCTGGGCCTGTGGACTCGCTTCCTGTCGAGATGCCGAAGGTCAAGTCAGGGGCTGTCGGCCGCCGCCGCAGGCCGCAGGAGCAGCACCGGGAGCTCGGGAGCGCTGGAGGTGCGGATCCCCTCGAGGAAGCTGGGGTAGGATCAGGTCTTACGGCAGGACCGAGCTTGGGGTGCGGAGCGAGACCTGATCCGCGGAGGCCGGTCAGTACCCGCTCCCGTGAGCGCGGAAGACCGGGGGGGTCACTGAGCCGGCCGCAGGCCCTGCACGTCGCCGCTGGCCTCCTTTCCAGCTGGAGGATGAACTTTATAAAGAGTTTGTCAGTCCTGGCGTGACGTTTCATGGCCCTGGTTGGCGCAGAACTCTTCCCCCTACCCATCCAGCTTTCTTCTCTGCGACAGTCTAATATCTCATCTCAGTAGGAAAATTAAGGCTGTTCCGTGTTTTCTTACAGGACTCATGTTCAACACGGGAATTGGGCAGCACATTTTGAAAAATCCTCTCATTATTAACAGCATTATCGATAAGGTGGGTGTGGAAGAGGAAAGGGAGAAAGTTGTTGGTTTATTAATTTTATTCCTATGAATACATAAGCGCAGAAAGTCTGCCTGCCATAAAATAGATGCTCTGTAAATATTTGTTGAATGAATCAAATAATTGTCTAGAATTAACCGGCTGTCTTCTGCATAAGCTTCATTCTGTGGTCTGAGTTTCTCCTGGTTCCCAATTCTGTGTCTTTTTATGGATTATTTACTTTATAGCTGGACTTTTTGTATTTGTTCAAGATAATTCTTTTTCTTTTCTTTCTTTCTTTCTTTTTTTTTGACTGAGTTTTGCTCTTGTTGCCCAGGCTGGAGTGCAATGGTGCGGTATCAGCTCGCTGCAACCTCCGCCTCTGGGTTCGAGCGATTCTTCTGCCTCAGCCTCCCGAGTAGGGGGGATTACAGTCATGTGCCACCATGCCCGGCTAATTTTTTGTATTTTTAGCAGAGACGGGGCTTCTCCATGTTGGCCAGGCTGGTCTCGAAGCCCGGACCTCAGGTGATCTGCCCACCTCTGCCTCCCACAATGCTGGGATTACAGGGGTGAGCCACTGCACCTGGCCTATTCTTCTATTTCTAATCCCCTTTTTGATCACTTTTAGGTTTTATGTACTTCATCTATTTATGTCTAAGCCACACATGAGAAAGTTTGTTTCCCAGAAAAACATGTAGTATCATGTATAAATTATTTGGTGTATTCCAGTGCCACATGTAAATTACTCGAAGTATTACTCCTGTCTGGGTTATTGATGCTCTCTTATGGTTATGGATGATTGAGTGCTAGGAAATGAAATATACACGGTGCAGAGTACACTTGTGGTTACAAGCAAAGAAAGCAGCCTGGAGCTTTACACAGAAAGAGCATTACGTAGTTAAAGATCTTGTCAGGCTTCATGTCATTTGAAAAATGAGAAAAAAAAATGAAGGTTGGTGTACCATTTTAACCTTTTTAGCTCATAGTTTCCTTTGAGCATCTAATGAAAGCTGTGGCCCTAGAATATTATAGCTGTGTACAAACATTCAGTTTTGTGTACAGTTTCTGCTCTTCTGTGTCCTTGAAACCACACATGGGTTGAGAATTGAAAAATCCTCATCCAACGTGTACAATCCTTTCCCATTTGAACTTGTTAATATGAACAGAGAAGGTAACAAGAGGCTATTGGAATATTTCTAGATAGAAAGCAGAATGCCTTTCCCACAAATGCTGTTCCTGCTTTTCTGACTTCTAAAGTTCAGCAGTATTCCTCCAAGTTAGGAGAGGTCTTAGATTTTCATTTACACCAAATGTTATTGAAGTAATTTTGTTAACCACATAGATCGTAAAGAAATCTAAAAATGGAGTCAGAGTAAAAGCTCTTATCGGAGCACATATGAGTAAAGATGCTCAGGTGTAAATTAACTTCTGTGTCCTGAATGTGCCGGAATAGCTAAAGTGGCTGTGCTTGCTTTTAGGCTGCCTTAAGACCAACTGATGTGGTGCTAGAAGTTGGACCTGGAACTGGCAACATGACTGTAAAGTTGTTAGAAAAGGCAAAAAAGGTAAAAAGGGGATTTAATGCTTGGTATCACAAATGACTACGTTAGCAAGCTCAGCTGGTTTACAATCTGAATATGTTTTAACTAATTGCAGTTATTTTAGTAGTAACTCCTGATCCCTCGTTATAAATTTTGCCTTAGAAAACATGAGATATTTCAGTCAGGAAAACAGAAACCAGGTTAGGTATTTCAACAGGGATTTTTTTTTTTTTTTTTTTTTTTTTTGAGAGGGCGTTTCATTCCACCCAGGCTGGAGTGCAGTGATGCAATCCCAGCTCACAGCAACCTTTGCCTCCTGGGTTCAAGAGATTCTCCTGCCTCAGCCTCCTGAGTAGCTGAGATTATAGGCACCTGCAACCACACCTGGCTAATTTTTAGTAGAGATGGGGTTTCACCATATTGGCCAGAGTGATCTCAAACTTCTGGCCTCAAGTGATTCACCCATCTCAGTATCCCAGAGTTCTGGGATTGGGGCCGAGTGCAGTGGCTCATGCCTGTAATCCCAGCACTTTGGGAGGCTAAGGCAGGTGGATCACAAGGTCAGGAATTCAAGACCAGCCTGACCAACATGGTGAAACGCCATCTCTACTAAAAATACAAAAAAAATTAGCTGGGTGTGGTAGCATGAGTCTGTAATCCCAGCTACGTGGGAGGCTGAGGCAGGAGAATCACTTGAACCCAGGAGGCAGAGGTTGCAGTGAACTGAGTTAGAGCCATTGCACTCTAGCCTGGGAAACAGAGCAAGACTCTGACTCAAAAAACAACAACAACAAATTGCTGGGATTATAGGCATGAACCACCATGCCCAGCCTCAACAGGGAATTTAGGAAGGAAATACCCAAGCCCTCTCCCTTGTACCCTGGTGCCTTTCACTGGCCAAGTCCAACCAGACATTGAAAGGTAAGGGAGCTGGACTGCATTATCTACAGAATGCAAAAAAAAGTCGATAATAGACCTGGGAGGGCCTTTCTCAGTGGCTCACACCTGTAATCCCAGCATTTTGGGAGGCTGAGGCGGGTGGATGGCTTGAGCCCAGGAGTTCGAGACCAGCCTGGGCAACATGGTAAAACCCCATCTCTACAAAAAATTGTCCTGGTGTGGTGGTGCATGACTGTAGCCTCAGCTACCAGGGAGGCTGAGGTGGGAGGATTACCTGAGCCTAGGAGGTTGAGGCTCCAGTGAGCCATGATCCCACCACTTGACTGTAGCCTGGATGACAGAGTAAGACCCTGTCTCAAAAAATAATAAATAAAAATAAAAATAAAGATACATCTGGGAGCCAAACAATAAGCAGCACATTGTTTACCCTGTAAACACAGTCTGCATAGAAGTAGAGCCAGGCACTGTGGCTCACATCTGTAATCCCAGAACTTTGGGAAGCTGGGGCAGGAGGATTGCTTGAAACCATGAGCTTGAGACCAGCCTGAGCAACAAAGCGAGACCCCATTTCTACAAAAAATAAAAAAGAGGCTGGGCATGATGGCTCATGCCTATAATCCCAGCACTTTGGGAGGCTGAGGTGGGAGGATTGTTTGAGCCCAGGAGTTTTGAGACCAGCCTGGGCAACATAGTGAGACCTGTCTCTAGAAAAAATAAATAAAGAAAATTAGCTTGAGGTGGTGGTACACACCTGTGGTCCCTGTTCCTCAGGAAGGTGGGGTGGGAGGATTGCTTGAACCCAAGACTTCTAGGCAGCAGTGACCTATGATAGTGCTGTTGCACCCCAGCCTGGGTAACAGAGTGAGACCCCATCTCTTAAAAAAATTTTTTTTTTAAATAAAAATAAAAGAAGTCAATGAAACCTCAGCTGAAATTGCAATAAAATTTCAATTTCAGCCTTATTTGACATCCACTTTCATTTACTTGAAAAGTTATCTATGTCATGTATTCTGTATCTCAGTAGATGTAACATACTAATAGTAAGAGCGACTGCATTGTACGCTCCTCTCTAACAACACTTACTGCACGGCCATATGGTGTATTTTTACCATCATCTGTTCAATTACAAAGCGTAGAGACAGATGAAACATGATTCTATTGATTATATGGGTAGAACTCTCACATAATCTGGTTGTCTACTTTTCTGGGTGGTGGTTTGTGTTTGCTTTTTTGAGATGGAGTGTCACTGTTGCCTGGGCTGGAGTGCAGTGACGCAATCTTGGCTCACTGCACCCTCTACCTCCTGGTTTCAAGCGATTCTCCTGCCTCAGCCTCCCAAGTAGCTGGGATTACAGGCGCCCACCACTATGCCCAGCTATTTTTTTTCTATTTTTAGTAGAGATGGGGTTTTTTCATGTTGGCCAAGCTGGTCTCAAACTGCTGACCTCATGATTTGCCTTCTTGGCCTCCCAAAGTGCTGGCATTATAGGTGTGAGCCACTGCACCAGGCCGGTATTTGCTATTTGAAGTAGGAGAGTACAATTGAAGGAATATTGATGGTTGAAATGCGAAAAGAAGACAGGCATGCTGGCGGGTGCATCCCAAGGCGGGTGAATCACCTGATGTCAAGAGCTCGAGATCAGCCTGACAAACATAGAGAAACCCCATCTCTACTAAAAATACAAAACTAGCCGGGTGTGGTGGTGCATGCCTGTAATCCTAGCCACTCAGAAGGCTGAGGCACGAGAATCACTTGAACCTGGGAGGCGGAGTTTATGGTGAGCTGAGATCCCACCGTAGCACTCCAGCCTGGAAAAAAAGAGCAACAAAACAAAAAAAAAAAAAAAAAAAAAAAGGGAAAATAAGTTTGTTACATAAATCATGTAAGAGTTCCTATTAGGATAACAATAAGAGATTTATATTCCAATTAACCTAAATAATTTTTTTTTAAATTAGGTTGTTGCTTGTGAACTTGACCCAAGGCTAGTAGCTGAACTTCACAAAAGAGTTCAGGGCACGTGAGTATACCTAATAGAATTTAAGTGCATTTCGATCTCATGAAACAATATTCTTTTTACATCTCTTCTTTTTTCGTTAGGCCTGTGGCCAGCAAACTTCAAATACTGGTGGGTGATGTGTTGAAAACAGATTTGCCATTCTTTGATGCTTGTGTGGCAAATTTGCCTTATCAGGTATGTCCTCACATTTTCAGGAACATCATACTAAGTGTTTCTCTGATGTGTCTTTCCCAGAAATAACTAGTTAATTCTCTTACAGATCTCTTCGCCTTTTGTCTTCAAGCTGTTGCTACATCGACCTTTTTTCAGGTTTGTGTGAAAAGACTAGAGTTACTGCCAAATTTTAGAAAGACTTACGATTCAGGTGATGAACATAACCAAAAATGAAAGTCAGGTCAGTTGAAAAACTACTGAAGAAGTTTTGTAGAAAATGTTGATTTATATGGAGGTCTTTCTGTCTTTTTAATTGAGAGTTTATTTGGGGGCAGTGTGCTGCAAGTCCTGCTTCAGACAGCCTTTCCCTATTTTTGAATCTTTCCTGCCATTAAGCCTAGGTTAGAATTGTTAGTACCTTATGTCTTGACAATTGCAGTGGTTTCCTAACGGGTCTCTAGTATGAGAGGTCTTCAAAAAGTTCATGGAAAATGTGTATTATGAAAAAACTATGCATGGATTTCAATTTTTTTTTTTTTAACACCAAAATAAACTCTGTACTAACTGAACAGGATCTAGTTAGTGTGAGGCACTGAGAAGGATAAGACATCAGTTTGAAAAGAGCCCCTATCAGAGCAACATGAATTGTGCTAAAAGTGAAGAACAAACATCCAATTTATGGTGAAGCTTGGTTGGAAGAATGGTGAAATCACTGATGCTCTACAAAAAGTTTATGGGGACATTGTCCCAAAGAAATCAGCAGTTTACAAATGCATAACTCATTTTAAGAAGGGATGAGACAGTGTTGAAGACGAAGCCTACAGTGGCAGACCATCCATATCAGTTTGTGGGAAAACATTCATCTCGTTTGTTCCCTAAGTGATGAAGAACAACATTTAACAGCACAAACTATAGCCAACACCATAGACACCTCAGTTGGTTCAGCTTACACGATTCTGACTGCAAAATTAAAGAAACTTTCTGCTTGATGGATGCCAAAACCGTCATACCCTCCCTTCTGAAAGATTGTATGAAAAAACAAAACAAAAAACGTACTCAAATCACCTGCAGATAAAAACAGAGCTTCTATTGAAAATTTTATATAAGTGTGATCAAAATCCTGAAACATGGTCAGGCGCAATTACTCACGCCTCTAATAGTAGCACTTTGGGAGGCCAAAGCAGGCACATCACTTGAGGTCAGGAGACCAGTCTGTCTAGCATGGTGAAACCTTGTCTCTACTAAAAATATAAAAATTAGCTGGGCATTATGGTGGGCACCTGTAATCCCTGCTACTTGGGAGGCTGAGACAGGGGAATCACTTGAACCCAGCAGGTAGAGGTTGCAGTGAGCTGAGATTGCACCACTGCACTCCACACTCCAGCCTGGGCAACAGAGTGAGACTGTCAAAATAAAAACAACAACAACAACAAAAGATCCTGAAACATTTATTCAAAGAATTATAACAGAGGTGAATTGTGGCTTTACCAGCGTGATCCTAAAGACAAAGCACAAAGTAATGCCTACCCAGAGGCAGAAGGGGTCCAGTCAAAGCAAGCATAGACCAGTCAAGAGCAAAGGTCACAGCAAATTTTTTTTGGAATGCTCCAGGCGTTTTGCTTGCTGACTTTCTTTAGGACCAAAGAATGATAACATCTGCTTATTACAAGAGTGTTTTAAGAAAGTTAGCTAAAGATGTAGCAGAATAACTCCCCGGAAAGCTTCCCCAGAGATTCCCCCACCATAATACTTCCACTCCTTCCTCTCATCAAATGAGGACAATTTTTTGAGTTTCAATGGGCAATGGTTAGCTGTCCACCTTACAGTCCTGATTTGGCTTCTTCTGGCTTATTTTCTTTTTATTTTTTGAGACAGTCTTGCTCTGGCATCCAGGCTGGAGAGCAGTGATGTGATCTGCACTGACTACAGCCTTGACTTCCTGGGCTCAAGCATTCCTTCCACCTCAGCCTCCCAAGCAGCTGAGATTACAGGCATGTGCCACCACACCCAGCTAATTTTTGTATTTTTTAGAGATAGGTCTCGCCATGTTGCCCAGGCTAGTCTCACACTCCTGAGCTCAAGCTGTCTGCCCGCCTCAGCCTCAAATGCTGGGATTATTACAGGCATGAATCACCGTGCCTGGGCCTACCGATTTATTTTCATTTCCTAATCTTAAAAAATCTTGAAAGGGCACCCTTTTTTCTTCAGTTAATAATGTAAAATAAACACTGCATTGACATGGCTAAATTCCCCAGAGCCTCGGTTTTTCTGATATAGACTAAAAGGCTGGAATAATCACTTACAAAAGTGTCTTGAACTTGATGGAGCTTATGTTGAATAATAAAGTTTATGGTTTTTTTTTTTTTTTTTGAGACAGGCTGGAGTGCAGTGGTGAGAACTCAGCTGAGTGCAGCCTCAGCCTCCCTGGCCTGGGCTATGTGATTCTCCTACCTCAGCCTTCTGAGTAGCTGGGATTACAGGGGTGTACCAGCATTCTTTGCTAATTTTTGTATATTTTTTAGAGACAGGGTCTCACCATGTTGCCCAGGCTGGTCTTGAACTCCTGAGCTCAAGCGATCTGCCAGCCTTGGCCTCCTAAAGTGCTGTGATTATACGTATGTGCTACCACCCGTAGGCTTATTTTTATCTTTTAACTCAATATTTCCACGAACTTTGAAGTCACTTTCTACATTTTTTTTTTTTTAAAGATGGGGTTTCACCATGTTGGTCAGGCTGGTCTTGAACTCCTGGCCTCAGGTGATCGGCCCACCTTGGCCTCCAAAGTGCTTGGATTACAAGTGTGAGCCACCACGCCCAGCCTTTTTTTTTCTTTTTTAAAATAACATGGAATAGAATATATCAGAGGGTAGGGCCAGGCGCCGTGGCTCATGCCTGTAATTCCAGCACTTTGGGACGCCGAGGTGGGTAAATCACCTGAGGTCAGGAGTTCGAGAACAGCCTGGCCAGCATGGCAAAACCCTGTCTCTATTAAAAATACAAAAATTAGCTGGGCATGGTGGCACATGCCTGTAATCCCAGCCACTAGTGGGGCTGAGGCAGGAGGATTGCTTGAACTGGGAGGCAGAGGTTGCAGTGAGCTGAGATTGTGCCACTGCAGTCCAGCCTAGACAACAGAGTGAGACTCTGTCTCAAAATAATTAAATACACACACACACACACACACACACACACACACACACACACACACA